ATGAAACACGAAATGTCATACTATAATGTGGATGTAAGTAAATGCGAATTTTTATTAATGAAAGATAATTTATTTTTATCAGTTGTAATAAATAATCATTCTTATTTTCATATTGCAACATAAAAATTCGTTATTTGATCACAATAATGTGCCAAATATTCTCATAGGTCAGCTAGTATTAGATTATTTTCTAAAATTAAAATTAAACCCAAGTAATTCCAACATCAGCAAACCCATTCTTTGGAAATTGCTTTTACTTAATACTCCAAAAAGTATTAAAATAAATACCGATTTTCATCAACTTCACTTCAATTTATACTGCGACTCAGCTATAAAATTTTACTGAAAACCAGCGAAGATATTTTTATAGCTTTTTACCGTAATCTTCCGAATTTTACTGCAGATTAGTTCAATTTATAAGATACTTCACTTAATAAAATAAAAGATTTGAAATATATAAAATAAGATGTGAGGCATTAATATCGGCGTATCATTTTCTACGGCGAGCGCTGGATTAAAGTTGTGTCTGTTAACTCGATCTAATTGTCTCCCCTAGTTTAGCCTTAGATTAATCCCACGGGCCGTCTATAATCATCAATATTGTCTTTATTAGTTCATATATATGTATACATGTCTAAGTAATACTAAAAGCCGCTCGAATCTCGCAGTGTGTCACTTTATTCAACTATTAAAAATTAAAAACTATTTTATTATAAACGCTAACCAGTATAAGCGATACTCTTAATAAAACTAGTAACAAATCTCGTGTGACCCTTAATAATTATTACATCTTGCGTCATTATATAAATAAAATCTTATTACTTAACTGCAGCAAACTTACCCGTAAACACTTCTTTAAATTTGTCTTCGTCGTAATATCAAAGAATAAGATTACATACTTAAAAAACGTTACTCAAGATTTTATAGAACTGATGGTTGATGGTTTAACATATGTTATGTACGTATGATATATTGTAAGTAAAATAATAAATTAAATAAACGCTACGACACTCAGCAATACGAATCTACCCGGACGTATTCGTTACACTTTTTGAGTTTGCTTTTCCTTTTATTATCGTACTTTTTGGTCTTATTTTCCTTGCACCATCTGTACAGAGCACAAAACTATTGCACTTTTTTTCATATCTCTCAAGTTCATTATACTTATATTCAACACAACACATTCGGTTGCCACTCTCAGAAATTTTTTACTGCATTCCAGACGCGGCATTTGCGTAAGCACTTTTAGTTGACTTGCTTTCAATCCCTTTTCTCTCATATGGGACTTTCTGCATTTGCTTATTACATTTTTTTTTTCCTTTTTTTTATTCATCATCCTCTTCATATGTCTGTGTAATATGCCACTGTACTTAAATTATTGCTGAGAATACAAAAAAATATTCCTAAGAAAAATAATTTTGTTTAATTATTATGTAATTTTTAATTACTGTCAAAGTATTTTGCACAGTTTTAAGGAAACTATGAGCTTAAGCTTGAATATTATTTTTTAATGAAATTCCAAATCTGAGGCTTCATAGTTTTTATTTTTGGTTACTATATTTGTCATATTAATTACACAGTAAAAAATTTTTCGTCATTGTGTAAAGTGTAAAAATTTTTGTGTAGAATATTACATTTTCATGTATTGATTTAACATACTAGAATGTAGGAATTAACATTAGTTTGTGTAAAAACAGTCAGTAATACAAAAGTGTATGTTAAATTCGACGAAAATTTTTTAACTGTGTAATATGAATCAATTCAATTTTGAGAATTACTTGAATTTTAAATTTAATAATTTTTGGGGTATTTCATTGATAACATCTTAAAATAACAAGTTAATGATTTTGGAAAATCTTCAATGCTTAATTGGGGTCACAATGTTATCTTTATTTGTAAACTTTTAATTAAAGACGAAAAGTTTCATTTAATCTTGACATAAAAGTAATATAAATATTTAAACAAAATTTTATATAAGTATAATTTTTTTTCATAACAAAAGTTTGATTTTTTTTAAATACTTGAAAAAAATTTAATCACACATAATATTTTGAAGTATAATTTTTTAATAATTATTAAGTATTACTATCAATTTCAATATTTCAAGCTAGAACATAGAACATCTAAAATTTCAGATAAAAGAGTAACTTCTATCGTTTGAAATTTCTATTTAATAAATTTTTTGCTTCAATACTGATAAAAATAAGTTACAAGGAAAAAAAACTGTATGAGAAATTACAATTGTCGCATCATAAACCAGCATCAGACTTTCAATACTTGTAATTTCACAATTTTACATTTTAAAATTTATTACTTACTTTCTCAATCTGAAATAATGACTATTCATTGTTTTGTAGCTGTACGTATGCAATATTTTTCAGTGATTTTTACTGTTTTTTTTCCTGTGTAGTAAATTTAAAAATATTGATCTTTGAACCCGAATTACAATGTAACAATTGTACATTTTGATAGAATATTTTTTCCGTTTATAGTATCAAAATTTTAAATTTCAAATCGCTTTTCAAGGTTACAATATCATACGACATAGTAGCAATAGGTATTTTTCTGTTTTTCACTTGCAAAAATCCATGAAATATAAATTAAGTCTAAGTGAAAATCATAGTGATTAAATATTTAGCATACATAATAGATGTTATATAAATGAAATTTGAAAAGTGAATAAATGGAAAATAGATGATATATGATTATAAATCTTTGACATTTTTATTTGATTAGAAATCAAGAAGCAGTTTGCTCGACATCCCTCGATACTCTCCTTTATAAATCACCCCTAAATATATATCTATACGTAAGAGCATACATATATATAACTGGTGGGGTGTGTGCAGCCAGTTGGTTTTAAACGTGATTACAGTGCCCACTTTCTATATAATATACTCAGACACGTGCTCGCGTGTAGTCCACACGGATTATAAATATGATATAAAACCTAAGGATATAATGGTTTTATTTTTCAAATCATATGAATTAAATATCAATGAGCCACCACATACTATTTTAAATACCAAATAATAATATAACTCCTATTATCTATTTATATTTACGTTATTCTGCTTCCAATGATTATGATTATGATTATTGAAACCCCTCTGTCGTCTATTCATCATGAACCTGTGATAAATGACCGTCAAAATAAATCATAAATACCTACTGTATACACTACGATGTGGTTTATTGCTTTTAATCTTTTTCATTCAAGCACAACTTGACCCTTTAATTTTTTTGACTACTAAAGTTAAAAGGGTAAGGCTGTTTCTGGAATTTCTACGATTTCATTTTTTCTTTCGTATATAATTAAATACACATATATAACAATATATACCAGTAAACTCATTAGTCCAACGCACTTACACTCTCTAGACAGAACTTCTCTACTCTTTTTTCTTAAAAACGCGAGGCGAGACCCACACCACCATCAGAGTACGTGACTTAAATCTTACTTTACAAGATGTACTCTCAAGGAATTAAATATATTGCAGCTGAGCAAGCTTTTTTATTTACTTAACTCTTTTTTATTTATGTTTCTTTAAATTTTTTTCATAAATCAGTTTGGGTCTTTCTGTAAAAATCGGTTAATTTCAAGTAACTTGAAGTATTTTTATTCTGATCAGACATATTTTATTTATAAGTTTATGAATTCTGATCAACAAATCAATTCAAGTCATTTTTGGTTAAAAATTTGATGGAAATATATTTGAAAAATAAATCATCATTATTTTTTATCAAATCCAGTTTAGTTTTTGTTAATTACACAATTGAAGTAACCCAAATTAGATCGCCGATTATAAAAGACTTCGTGTAATCAAGATTGATTACCCCAAAAAACAAATAAAAAGTTAAAAAAAAGAAACAAATATATATCAAATAATAAATCCAAAGTGATTAGTATGAATTAACAAAAAATAAATTCACACATTGAAACAATCAATATATAAAATTAAATAACATTAAATTTAGCTGTCACTTTATAATTTTTTAATTTTCTTTAACAAACAAATTTATTCCAAAAAATTATTCATAAAAAATTGCATTAAAGCTATATTCTTCCCCCTTTTTTTTTTTATCTCGTCAGGAACAAAATCATTATAATCATCATCTAAATCATTATCACTGTTCATATTTATTACGGAGTAAGATTTTTGTTAAATTAAATAACGTTCAGAAAATATTTCACACCAGAATAATGTTTACGACTGAGCGAAATCGTTAATAAAAAACATTTGAGAATTATTAATTGAGGTTTTAGCATACTTCAGATTGAACCATAACCGACAAAAAAATGTAATTTTAATTATTAATTATTCATTATTTTCTATTTCTTCGGGGCTTTGAATGTTTTTAAATATATTTTTTGCTGTGAAAGTCAAATTTTTAGAGCAGAAATCTATGGATTGATCGTAAATATGAGCCCGTAGCCTAAAAAATTCTTCTCTACTCGTTTCATAATTGTTTATTTTTAAGTCAACCGTTGAGCGGGTCCTGAATAGGACGTGAATTTAGGACACGCAGTGCTATAAAATAAATTTATCAGAATTGAACTATCTTTACAGTTAAAGGATTATTTCTATGAAATTGAATATATTCAAATTTTTTTGGAAATCAAGCTAAGCGACCGATTTTACTCATATGTAAACTAGAATAAGATATTCGTCCATTATTAAGTAGACAAAATTTCATTAAAATCAATTGAAAATTGTGGAGGCAATCCAGCTAATGTGGCGCATTATTTCACATACATAAACTTTCAGGTTGACTAACTAACATCCTACAATTTTTTGATAATTTACAAATAATTTCCTTCTAAAAATAACAATAGCTAAAAAATGCACTTGGAAATTTAAACCAACTCTTTCTGTGCAATTATTTATATATCTTTCACAAAAGTTATGTTAAAAATTCCTTATACATTTTATAAATTAACAAAAAAAAATATTTTCCAGCAAAATAACTAACAATTACCAATTTTTTTGTTAACAGCACGATTATCGTTTGGCGTGGGTCGTTTAGTAGGATCTCCATCACCAAGAAGTCAATCGCCATCGCACTCCTTGGGTCCATCATCACCACGGCCATCGCGGGACCCGGAGATCGACATCGATGTAGAAGAAGACGAGGAAGAAGATGAAGAAGTGGATGTCGACGTTGAGGAAGTGGACGACGAGGATGAAACAGAGATAAAGGGTGGATCCAGTGAAAGAGATTTTTCATCGCGGTCAACTCACTCAACCCCGTCACCGTCGCGGTCACTAATTCGCGAATCTACATCGCCGTCATCAAGTAGTCGGCCACCTAGAAAATCTGGTGATAGTTTCAGTGTTTCGGCACTACTAAGGCCAGATCCTCCGACCAGCCAACGTACTTCTTCCTCGGACGATTCTTCTTCAGCAGTGACAACTGTTGCACGCCATCAACCTGGTCCTACAACGGTGGCCGCGGTTGCAGCTGGAATCGGTTTATACCCACCGTTACATCTCCAAAGCGGATTATTACCGCCTCATCCACATCATCCGCTGTCTTACCTCCATCCGCAACTAATTCCTCATCATCTTTTACCGCCGCATTTACATCCCCTTCTGAGAACGGTTCACCCAGCGCACCCAGGACTTCATTCAGCTCACTCGACTCACGGTCTTCATCATCCACATCCGCTCGGTGATGTTTACAGCTGTGTTAAATGTGATAAAATGTTCAGTACGCCTCATGGTCTTGAGGTAATTGTATTTTTATTCATTTTTGTTGGTTGGGAATGAGCAAACATTCCATCTTTAATTTAGATTAAAATTTCATTTATTAAATAAAAAACTTCAATAATCTCGTAATTATTGGATATTCTCTAGTGATAAAAAAGTTTGCTGTATTGCTGCAATGACTGCGGCCTTCACAATGCGAGAAATAAGAAAAAAAAATCTTCATTAAATTTCTACCTTATTATAAAATCAGAATAGAAAAAAAATCGAAATTTAAATAAAAATTTTTTCTTTTGAGTTAAGTTGATTTTTTCATCAGTGTATAAAACTAGGAATATATAGATGCTAATAAATAATGATATCTTACTTGTATTTTTTTTTAAATAGATTATTTGAATTGAAAGATTTTAAACGAAAATATATGTCAAAAAATTTTTTTCAAAGATGGTTAAGATATAATTACTTATTACCATTCATTTCTTCTAATCATGATTAAAGTAAAATATTATCGTTGTAATTAGTAACTGAATAGTGAGAACGATCAGTTTTCCCCATCAGATTGCTCATTCCTACGTTGACTTTTGATTTGACATTGAGATTTAGATTTTGAAATAAAATAATAAATAAAATGATTTATATTTTAAAAGGTACACGCAAGAAGGTCGCACAATGGTAAACGTCCGTTTGCGTGTGAATTGTGTAATAAAACGTTTGGCCACGAGATAAGTTTAACCCAGCATCGCGCCGTGCATTCTGCTGAAAAAGTGTTCGAATGCAAGCAATGTGGAAAGTCATTCAAAAGGTCAAGTACGCTGAGTACACATCTGCTTATTCATTCAGACACTCGGCCGTATCCTTGTCAATTTTGTGGCAAGCGATTTCACCAGAAAAGCGACATGAAAAAGCACACTTACATTCACACAGGTACGTTTATTTAATTTTTATACTTACACTCTATACTCTGGTTTGGTTATTTATTAATAATATACAAAACCCGGCAGTGCCGTGGGTATAAGGATAAGTTTCTCAATGTTTTGGATTTGGTTGAAATTTATCTAAATTACCGGGGATGTGTGCTGTGCAATCTAAATAATTTATAACTGTCTGGATAGACTGTCTGGCTATTTTACGGTGGTAGTGTATATCGCCGAGGATTCATCTCTTTTAACTTGTATCTGGATTTTCTACCAGTTCAGTTTTCCCATTTACACATGTGCCGCAAGGGTGTGTGGTAATAAACGTAATGCTCTTTTCCAAAGCTTTACTATACTCTATCTCTATATATATATATAAAAGGTATCAAACCATCCCCATTGGTTATATATTCCCTGCTTTTATACTAACTGTGTGTGTCTCTCACGATTCTCTGCAATTCCGATGATTCTTTTCACTTAATATCGGTACAGCAGGGATGAAATTCTATAATGTCAATCCGTGAATAGACTTTTACTAAATTAATTATTTGTGGAAATATTTTATTTGAGTATATGAATAAATCATACTGACGAATAATAGATAATAACTTTCAAAAATTGATAGAAAGAAGTTATTTCAACCATTTGAGAAGATAAATGTAATGTAATGCAATCTATTTATTGATTTTAATTTTTGTAAAATTATTAAATTTATCATTATATAAATATGTCATAATACTTATGTGATAATAAAATTGCCATGCACTGATGAAAATTTTAACTAGACTCAAGAGCAAAAATCTTGAACCAAGAACACCAATTGGAAGAAAATGAATTTCTTGAGCCAAGAGGAAAAATTCTTGAGTCAAGATAGATTCTCTTGAATTAATAAAATATATCTTGACCCAAGAATTTTTCCTTTTGGCTCAAGAAATTCATTTTCTTCCAATTGGTGTTCTTGGTTCAAGATTTTTGCTCTTGAGTCAAGTTAAAATTTCTATCAGTGTGTGTTTATGCAATTCGGCTTTTGCCTTGGCATATAGTTAAGTAAATAAATAAAATAAATAAATAAATGATTTTGAAATTTTTGAAAATTAAATTGTAAGTAAAATTCTATAAATATAAATCTTACAAGCCGCGCGATAATAATAATAATAACAATAATATTTATTTGTTAGCATCAGCTATTTGTCATACAATATTTTGAGATAATTTTTAACATGTGATTACAGAAAATTTCTTATTTTAACAATTAAAAAATGAGCTCTCATAAATACAATAAATAAAATAATATAATATTTTTGTTACATATAAGATAAATTAACGCATTGCTCTGTTCTTTTTCAGTCTTTTCAAATTTAATTATTTAATTCACAGACCAATTATCACAGGTTTTTACATAAATTTTAAGGGCACGCTTAAAACTATCCATTGTTTTTTCTTTTTTTATGTTTTCAGGTATTTTATTGTACCATTGAAAACCTTGGTATGTTATTGACTTTTCAGCAGTGTGTGTTCTAGTATGATTAATATGTAATTTAGTGCTATTTCTAGTGTGATAATTATGTCTATCACCAGCTATTAGAATTGTATCCATTAGATAAGTAGGTGTTAGTTTATTAATCATTTTGTAAATCATTATTAGTGTATTGTATAAAATTCTCTGCTTTATCGTCATCCATCCCAAGGTTTCCAACATTAAGCTAATTTTAGTGTACTAGTATACGTTGCGCGCGCAAGCGCGCGTGTGAATTTAGTATATATGGAATTATCTATATTTTCATACTTATGATATATTTGACCAATCACATTACGAATAGTTTGTCTTATTGTATATATTTTCATATTTTGCATCTAAATTATAAGAGTGGATTTACTAACTCCCAGTATTAAACGCATTGCGCGGTTCTGTAGCTTTTGTAGAATATCTAAATGATGTTGATTATAATTAATCATTAAGGTACTGCAATATTCTAGATGATAATAATAATAATAATAATAATAATAATAATGCAACATTAATATGTAGAGAGACTTTGATAAGAAGTGAGTTGTTTGGTATCGATAAATGCGGATGAGAATAAGTGGTAACACTTGACACTTTGGTGTCATTGCCGGAGCAGGAAGTAAAAATGTAGGAGGGTGAATAAGAGGTGGTGAGAAGGTGTACAAGTCTGCTAGTATTATATAGATAATGATGACGGAGGAACGGTTGAGAATAGAGAGGAAGAAAGATGAGAAAAAAAAAGTTTAGAGGCGTGGATGAGGGTGAATCTTTCTTTCCCGGTATATCCTCGGGTCTCGGGGTTTTGTGTCACCATGGTAACACTCCCGATGTCTTATCAAATTATCACCTTGTCCTCTCCTCTGTAGATATATACTCTTAGTCCTTATCCTTGGTTGCCTCTTTTCAGAAGGCTGAACCAGCCCTTTCCTTAGCTGTTCTTGGCTGCTTGGGAGTACTTTTTGTTATGACCCTTCGACGCTTTAGTAAAGTGGAAAAAACTGGACAAAGCAAAACTCTATGGGCAATTGGATGAGTATTAACTATCAACTACCCAAGGGAGTTTAGCTATTCGCACATCCGGGGCATCAGGAATCATGGTCGTTTTTTTTAAAATAAAAAATCCATTTTTTTCATTCAATATTATTGATATTATTTTTTAGTTATTGTAATAGCAAGTGCGTAAAATCTGATTTAAGGTATGGGAGTGTAGTGATAACGTGGCGTGATAGCTGAGCGTGTAGTACGTGATGCGTGTGTCGAGGCCGAATTATTGTCCCGAGCGACTTGGAGCTCTAATGATAATCAAACTGAGCAGTATGCCTCTTTATATCTTTATACACTTTTACATACACATCGAGTTGCATATCTCTCTCTTCGTCTAACTCGCGTTAACGCATCCTTCTCTCTAGCCAGTGGTGGTGTGTTTGGGCCATGTGCAACGAGGGTGCGGCATCATAAGATTCCCAAGGGACCAGAACGGCGTGTGGCGTTACGTAAAATCATTATTAGCCTGCTAGACTGTAGGTATTGTTCATTGGTGACACTGACTGCCTACGACGCATAAGGCAAATCCATGAGTCCATGAGTAAATTAAATAGACAAAGATGCATCGTAGATTCGTGTACAGATAGATAGATAAAATTTATTTTAATTAGATATTATTTATTATTATTATTATATAGGTATATATTTGTATGTGTAAGTGTATTTATCTATCGGGTGAATAAATAAACCTGACGGAATAACGACAATGGAATGAGTGCTCGGCAAATATTGTTCAGCCGCTGGTATTCCGCGGCAATTAGTTTTCATCGCATTTTCGGGTACTCTTTGTGGCTGAAATCCTTCACTGTGTTTTTTCATTGCTCTCTATGAACTTTTTTTTATCAACTGCTTGATCACGATAAATAATAAATCAATTTTTTTTATTACGATATTTTTGATAAAATAAAAAGAAATAAATTAGGGCTGAGGATATATATAAAGCACAAAATTTATAGTCTTCCGAGTGCGAAAATTTTAAATACTGATAATGTAAAAGACACGATAATGGTATTTAATTAAATTTTATTATGTTAGCGTTTCTAATAATCCAGAGCACGGAAAAAAGTAAACTATAATAAATAACAGTCGATTTATAATAAGTAATGATCAACTGCTAAAAATTACCATTTCAAACAGTAAAATCGTGATTTTACTATTCACCCGAGTTGAAATTTAAGTCGTAGATTCAACGTATTGAACGTTCAAATCGTACATTCGACGTATTGAACGTTGAAAACGTAAGTTCAACGTATTGGACGTTGAAATTGTAACTTGAACGTATTGAACGTTAAAAACGTTAGTTGAACGTATTTAACGTATTGTGAGCGTAAATTGATTTTAAATTTTGCTGGTGCACCATGCATGCAAGTATATTTTACAAATTCATTCCACTGAAGTGAAAATTTTAATTATTAATGAAATTTTAGGTATATTGAAGCTTTATGCTTGAAAATCTAACTATAAGTCGGTCAAATGAGCTCCTCAAATCTTCAAAATATTTTTGAAATGCAAATAAAAATCAATCTAATACTTTTCAAAGATCTCAAAATATCGAGATTGAATGAGAATTTGGCTCTCAAAAATCAATCTTAATTGAATAACTTCCTTAATTCCAATCAACCGTAATTTTATTAGTTGATTAAATAAGCAAGTAGCTAAACATTAACTCAATCATCAAATCTTTGGGAAAAGCTTTTAAATAAATTTAGACTATAGGTTATTTTTTACGGTTTGGTATATGACATTTGTAACTTTTAATTTTTACTACGGATCATATATTCTTCTTAAAACAGTTGAATCTATATTTTTTACGTTCAATACGTTCAAATTACGATTTCAACGTCCAATACGTTGAACTTACGTTTTCAACGTTCAATAAGTTGAATCTACGACTTAAATTTCGACTCGGGAATATGCATAGATTTTTAATATAATTAAAATATATTTTTTATATATTTCGAAATATATATTTTTTATATTTTTTTTTTCATGAGGGCTGTTTCAAATGTTAAATTGTCCCAGAGTGAGACCCCCTTCTCTTTCATCTGAGTTCCCCTTCTCCTCATAATATGGACTATATATTGAAATGGCAATTTTTACTGTTTGAAACTGTAATTTTTTAAGATGAAAGAGTCGTTATTTACTATAGTGACAACTACTAATCACTTATTTTGGATATTAAATTATAAATTGTGGCTTTTATACTTTCTACATTAAGTTCTGTAATATTTATATTTTTGCCACCCCGATGTCTGCTTTACTGTTTGAAACTATAAAAATTAACCGGAATCCGAGTGAATATTACAGTTAAATTTTTTCCGTGTGGTTCTTGAATGTTCTCAATGATTGTCAGTCACAGTTTTGCTGGTAAAAAAAATTAACTTAATTTAAGAGAGAAAATTTTGAAATAAGAAAATCATTTTGAAAAATTTTTTTTCTTTTGAAGAAATCAAAAAATTTCCTGAACCAA